CAATATAATAAAAAAGGAAAAAAGGAGAAACGCGTCCCCAGGAAAAGGAGAAAACAAAAAATATAACCCCCCGCCCTTTGCACAAAAAAATTGTTATAAATCCATCCTTTTCACATACCTGAAAATGAAAACAGGGTTGACCTTTTTCATTTTAGTTTTGGGAGGATTCCCCCCACCCCCTCATTTTCCACCATACTCTAGGTTTCCAACTCAGAAACCATATATCGGGATCGCGTGTGGGCCACAAAGAGGAATAAGTGTGATATCTCTCCTCCACAACACCGTCTGTTCACATAACAAAATCCAGCAGATAATTCTGCCCAAAGACCAGTCTTAGACGGTGTCCCAGGCTCTGCTTAATAGAGATACAAGCAAGTCAAGATGAAGACGTGTTGGTTGTCCAAAAGTTTACACGCTTGGTAGCCTTTCACCGCTCTGTAAAGTTACTTACTCTCCCCAGCCATATTTTTTCCCTTCAGAACAAAACCCTTTGTTTCTTTGTTTGTTTGTTACGCTACCTGACACTTTTGCTTATTTTGATTCTGCAGTTTCTTGGACAGCCAATCCAAAAGTCAGATCCCGAGCAGCTGTAACCATCCCGATGAACAGTTCCGATGGAAAGGAGGGCTTTATTAAAATTGCAACCCAATGAACTGAGCTACTCTGTGACCTCGGGTTGGGAAACAGACCTTGGATTCCACAAAAGACTCCAATTTAACTGTTTCTTTCCTCGGGAACCGTGATGTTCAAGTGTGATTTTCCAAAATACACCACACCAGTTACAGCTAAACAGCGGCAGACAGTAAAATGAGGGAGAGAGAAAAACAAATAAACTAAAGGTAGGAACAAACAGGATTGGATTGTAATGTTCAGACAGAGACCGAGCAAACAAAAACAGAGATTAGTTTCGCATCTGCGTTTCTCTTATCAAACTCTTTCTATCTTGGTATTTATAAAGTCCTCGCTCGGCCTAGTGCCGGAACATCACCAAACGAACACAAAGCGTACAGTCCGCCTGGCTGAATGTAATCTCGTCCCACCAGCCCAGGGCTGAGTGAGCATGCGTGATAACATCTTGTTTATCTCCTTCAGCGTGGCTGAGGTAAAGGGGTGTGTCCAAAAGTAGGAAAGTCCCTGCCCATTTCCTATCTTGTAGAAGAGAAGTCTATGGCCATGGCCCAGCTACCACAAAAGCCCAGGTGTACTGAGAGGTATTTTGGAGTTTCACTCCAAAGAATAGACCACCTCAGTGTCCCTGGGCAGCACAGCCATCTTGGCATGGCACTGGGGGGGAAGGGAGGCAGTGACTCAGCTATTAAGAGCCCTGACACTGGAAGACTTTTTTGGGGGGGGTGAATTTAAGGCCTGGTATTAGCTGGCGAGACAGGGCAGTGTGGAGCATCAAGAGGGGGTGTTCTCAGAATCCCACAAGGTTTAAAAGATGGGCCACATGGGGCACTAACTGGAGTTTCCCTATGGCATTCACTGGTCCATAGCTAGCTACACTGAACTACAAGTTTTAATGGGCCCCGCTCTGCCCTCCTTTACACCGGTGACATCGGTGGGGTTACCCAAGCAACACTGAGGGCAGAACTCGGCCAGAAGTCTTTATTTATTGAGCCTCTTCAGGCCAACTGAGTACTGAGGAGTCTTTTGTAGAGCGGCACCGTCCCGGAGACCTGCTTTTGGCCCTTGACCAGTGCATGTTCTCTGTGCTCATCCAACTAAGATTCCTCTCCCTCCCTCCTGATCCAGTCTGCAGGGAATACATTTCCTGTAGTTCACCCTCTCATGAAACTTCCCCCTTCATCCCTATGGCAAGCAGCCGTCTTTCCAAAACAGTCCCGAGCTCAAACCAGTCACTGCTTCCTGATCCTTACCAATCAGGTTTCCCAAAGCTGCCTCAGAGAGACAATTCTGATCTCACTGCGAAAGCCTCGGCCGATGTTCTGAGGGGTCCCTCTCTCTTCCTTCAGCTCTCATCCCTCATCCCCTCTCCTCCCCCGCAAGCTTTGTCCCTACACAGCACTACACACAAAGCAAACTTTTTTGAAGGCAGGTGGAAAATACCTCTGGGAAAAGCTCAGGAATCATTCACACCGGCAGGTCACTAACATTCATCTCCCCTTTCAAACAGCCCCTGAAAGCAGATGAATCTTTTAAGAGGCAGTCACGGCTTGTTTTTATTTTCTCCCCTTCGGGGTCCGTGGATGTGTTACGCTAACACTGCTGCTCTCCTCCGAATGCTTCAGCTCCTGATGGGCTGAAATGTGTGTTGCAAATTTCCACAGAAGCAAACCAGGCCCTGCTCCCATCGTTTATAAATGAGTTTTAAATCAGCTTTTTTTTTTCTTCATTTGCACCCAGGAAAAAATCCTTTATCAGCCTGGATATGCACATTTCGTCTCCCCAAGATCAAATGTCTGTTAATGCTACATTTGGTTAAATGTATATAGTGCCCAGCCATCAAAATACCTCAGGTACTGTCGAACCCCCAAGTATAAGATTTAGGAAGTCAGGGGAGGTTTTGCCTTTGTCTTCAGTGCCTACGTTGTTCCCAGTGTAAAGCGTGAATAAAGTACAAAGCTGCAAATAAAATTAAGGCATTTGGTGGGGAAGGCAGAGATACAGCGACGCAGCAGTCGGCAGAACATGATTTTTAACGGCTTCCAATGCTTTTGTTTGAGCCACCCGAAATAACGGCAATAAAAAATAAATCCGTTAGACTGAAAAAAAAAAGATGTTGTGAGTGTCAAGCGGCAGAGGAGAGATTTCCACTTGGAAAAACCACTTGAGCACTTTGGGGGCCTTTTCATCTCCCATCAAAATCAATTGCATGTGGCAATAAAAACACAATGGTTTTTAGGACCGTCTCATGTCCAAGGGACCCAGGACTGAGCACAGGCACCGCTGCTGAAGTCACAGAAACTCTTTGGTGTCCATTTGGGAAGGTGCATTTTTTTTTGTTGCTGTTGTTTATTCGGCCATTAAAAAAATGGACTCTGCATGAATGAAAACCACCACTCTTTTAAAAGGGGTTTAGTGCACTGATATGAAGGAACCAAGCAAAACCAAGGGACGTCAGAGTTCAGGCTAGCACTAGCAGGCTGCTCTTCCTGTCCTGCCACGGGCTACAAGTCTGTAACTCATGTCGCATGTCTGGCCAGCCTTAGCCCCCCACCAATATACCGGGGTAAAAACGGGAGATGGAATTTAGCGACTGATCTTGCCTGGGATCTCAGTGACAGCAGGATTGGGCCCTTTATCTGAGCTGCGAATTTTCCTGCCCCTTGTTGCTCACAGTTATTCTCCCAGATTTGTTGGATTTTAAACGCTGGCCTGTAGGGTAAGCGCAAAACAACGGCACTTTTTGGAAATCAAGAGACAAGGAAGCTTTTCCCCTTTCAAGCCAAGACTTGATTCCCTTACTGAAAGGTTGGCAAAGTCACGCTGGGAGGGGGGGGGAATTGAAAACACAATAAAACAAACCCAAAGAGCCAACACAGAACCTGTCTGGGGTGACACCTCTTTCTGGAAAAAGAAGAAAGATGCCCCTGAAATACATCTTTTGGATCAACACTTGGCGGTCAATGTATTACAGGCAGGCACCTTTAACCCCAGCAATTACATTTATCTCTGCCAGACTGCACACGGCAAATGCCTACAGAGGAAGGCAAGGGCTGGAGAAGGGGGGGAGAGGAGAAGGAAACAAACAAACAAGTACATAAATACAAAGCAAAGGGGTTTTGCCACATGTCAGCCACTGCTCCAGGAATAAAACAGAGCATTCAGAGCAATGCAAGGCACAGCCAAAGCCGGTTGTGCAAAACAAACCAAGACCTGTCCGGAGTGGGCGCACCCCTCAAAATCTCACTTAACACCCCGTTTCCATTCCAGAATTGCTTTTGTCTAGGTCAGTGGACCAGGGACGGGGGTTCTGTGCCTGACGATCGGGGCCACTCGGAGAGCAAACTTTTAATTCTTTTTTTAGTGACTAGTGCCTGGCTGCGAGTCCCACGTTTGAAAATAGCGCTCGCCGCCGTGCCAAGTCCCTTAGCGGATCTCGCTCGCTCTTGCGCGCGCGCGCATTTTGCGCGAATTGCTTTTGTCTAGGTCAGTGGACCAGGGACGGGGGTTCTGTGCCTGACGATCGGGGCCACTCGGAGAGCAAACTTTTAATTCTTTTTTTAGTGACTAGTGCCTGGCTGCGAGTCCCACGTTTGAAAATAGCGCTCGCCGCCGTGCCAAGTCCCTTAGCGGATCTCGCTCGCTCTTGCGCGCGCGCGCATTTTGCGCCCCCCAACCCCCGCCCCGCGCAAAAAAAATGTCTCCAGCGTGTCCGCGACCCCCCCCCCCGCGCCGCGGCCCATCCCGGGCCCTCTCCCCAACCCTCCGGCCACGAAGCAGCGCGCACGTATTTCCAGCCCAAAGCTCGCAGCACTTTCAAAAAAATCAACCCCCCCCCTTCCCTCCTTCCTCAACAGTAGTTTGATCTGTGGTCTCCATCTGCAAAACACAATGACGCTCGCTCGACACGTTGCAGGGGAAGGGAGAAAACAAACAAAAAAAAATAATAATCCAGACGCGCATCTACCAAAATTGGGACTCGCCAAGAGGGAACAGGCCAAATCCACAAGGGATCGGCGCTGTCTAGGGCAGGCGGCGAAACTGACAAACAAGTCCCCGCGCTGCAGCGTCCCCCCCCAGCAATGCCTCCCAGTCCATGCACGAAACAAGCTTTCTCCAGCCAGCCTGACTTCCTGCAATGGTTCGTGGAAAAGGGGGCATAGGGGGTGTCCCGGATCAAACCATCCGCGTTGCAATAAAGCCACTTTTTCATGCCCCCCCCCTCCACACCCCCGCCCTGCTCCCTTCTCCCGGCCGATCGTCTGTCCTTTGCCCTCTTGCCCTCTGCCCCCGCCCTCCCCCAGCAAGCCATAGCATTTCAATCCGAATATCTAGCGCCGTCTGCGCGGAGAACCCTTTGCAACAAAACTCACCCAGTGGCAGGAAATGTTTGGTGTCCATATCGGGTGTTTAACTCATGCCCAAACGATTTGTTGAAGATCGGTGGAGGCAAAACACACGCGCGTGCAGAAATCAAAGCAAAGGAGAGAAGGGGGGGGGTGTAAAAAAAAGAGGGGGGAGGGAAAAATAATAAAAGCCAGCAGCTTTGCATTGATTTAAAAATAAGCAGCAGCAGAAGGCACGCAGCACCGGAGCGGGTGGAATAGGAAATCCAGTCACAGTGTGTGTAAGCCCGAGGCAGGGGGAGTTGTTTCAAACTCACCCAACAATGTAACTAAAGTACTTGTGTCTCTGTGTCTCTCTATTCCAACTACAGGAGCTGCAATGCAAAGGGGACCCAGCCAAGGGGGAGCGGGAGGGCCAACCTGGTCGCAGCGACGGCACGGCCAGCTGGGAGCCTGCACCAACTAGTTTTCTCGAGGGAGGCGGGGGGCTTTGAAGAGGGGGCTGCTTTCAGAAGCTGGCTTAGGATCCGAACGAGCATAGGGAAATTGCATGCAAATCACGCTGCAGGGCGCCATGGGACGATACAGGTTAAGAGCACATGCAGGGGAAAAGGCCCATCTCAGAGCTTCACAGGTAAAGGTAATTGAGGATGCAGGTGGGAGTGGTACCCCGTCAGGGCTCTTGCTGAAGTGATGCCATTCAGTACTTTGGGGGGGCTTTCATGGGTGGTAGAAGGACTGGTCCAAGTCGTAAAACTTTTGTAAGTGGGGGACTTACAGGGAAGGCGGCTGAGCAGAGCCAGGAAAAAGAAAGGAATTACTTCTGAGAGTAGAAGAGGGAAGATGGGGCCCATTAGGCTGAGATTTTCCAAAGCTGCCTCAGGAATTAATGTCCTGGGAGGCTGGAATGTTCCTATTCCTGGCTGCGAAAGTCTCTCTGCCTTAGAGGGAAAATTGGTGGGTGGATAAATAGGCTAGATCTGCTGGCCTGCCTATCACGTGCTGGAATGATCCATCAATTTACCACAGACACATGTTACAAAACCCCCGTCTAGGTAACTGACACGAGTCACCAAGTGCAAATTTAAGGAGGCACGAAGGAACTTGTGTCGCTCTGGAAAGAGCCGCGAGTAGGGTTGCCAGATGGTTTCAACAAAAATACCGGACACACTTGATATGACATCACAATCTGCATTCCATCTTATTTAGAAAATACCGGACAGTTCTATTTTCTCATTTCTATTGTCTCAATTTGTGTCCCGAGCAGAAAGCTCAAATACTGGACTGTCCAGTTCAAAAGCGGACACCTGGCAACCTGAGCCACGGGCGAATTCTGACTCCAAGTGGCTCTTCCCTTTTCTCTGGTGTCTTACAGACCTTTAGGTCAGAAGGGTCAGGCTTGATCCTCTAATCCAGGGGTGGGCGATGGCGGGGGACCACTTAATGAATTTTGGTATGTGGTCGCCGCCCACCTCCTCCCCCAAGAAGGGGCGGGGCCTGGAGCGCAAGGAGCGGGTCTAGGGACTAGCCTCTTCCCCCCTCCCTCCCCAAGTTGTCTGCGGCTGAAGGCTTTGAATTAAAAACACAGCAAAGGGCTCGGGACTTGTGGTCCTGCTGCTACCGCATTGCCTGGCAGCTGCCTGGGATTGCTGTGGCTATTTAAAGGACTCACAGCTCTGGCCCCTGCCATGAACCATTTAAACAGGATTCTGCTGTCTGAGCCACCCCTTGGAAATCTGGTGGCATAGGCAGCAGAATATAAAAAGAAAGTGGCCAGATGCAGTCTTCAGGGTCATCAAAGTGTTAGGTGGGCCAGATACGACTCTCAGGCTGCACCTTGCCCAGCCCTGGTCTAACCCATACAGAGTAAGCATGAGAATGGCCTCAAAAAGGACACAGAAGGACTGTAATGCCAATAGGATCAGTGCCCCAGCCTGCAGGGCCGTGAATGGACTGACGTCATTGGTGGGCACCCCCGTGACGTCATCATCGGGCGCCCCGGGCGGTGGCACCCTAGGCGGTGGCTGAGTCCGCCTATAGCCACGGGCTGCACCTGGTGGGACGGATCCGACCCCCATGCCGTGTCTCAGCCCTGGTCTCGTCTGACCCTCCTGCAACTGAAACAGGATTTAGTTCATTTCCTATAAAAAAGATACAAGTCAGTAACTTGGCGTGCGACTTCCCTGAGAGCTCACATGCCCACATGTCACCCCCACGGCCTCGCGGGTGCAACCCCCTGCTCCTCCCCGGACCGTCTTCTGGTTTGAACGGTCTGTGCAACGTGCCCAGCACACCGGGGTGTTTCCAGCTTTGAGAAATGGTGCTCAGCCCTGTCGAGAATGCGCATTTGTAACTTGATGGACCGGAAAGGCTGGACGGTGTGGGAAACAAAGTTAGCATCTTACCCACCCGCAATCTGGACCGGAAAGGCTGGACGGTGTGGGAAGCAAAGTTAGCATCTTACCCACCCGCAGTCTGGACAACCATAGCATGTGTAACCGGCAGGTTTGTGAGTTGGAGTTGCACTCCGACTGTGGGGACAAGGCCTGGAACAGCTGCCATGAGAGCTCAGGGAGTCTGGTGTGGTGTTGGACTGATCAAGAGGCTGTATGAACTCAGGTGCCTTTGGGCGACAATTTTCCAGAGCAATCCCAGTAGGACACCAGGGAATCCCAATAGGGCAACTCTTGACCAGTCCCATTGAAGAAGAAGGGAGTACCCGTGGGAACAAGGACTGTGGGGGTGGGAGGCATTGAGGAACAGGCCTTGAGTTTTTGGAGGGATAGATGAAATTGTTAGTCTAAAATTAGGAAAAGGCGCACGTGGATGGTTGCTGCTGCCAGGGCGTGTCTGTCTGTCTATCTTGTGCCCATCATTGTAGTATCCGAGCCCCTCTAGAAAAGGCTAGAGAAAGTCTAGAGTAATTTATCAGGCTAACAGCTCCTCCTGCAAACTTTTGAGCATGCCTGTGTGTCAGGGGACAGGCACTTACCCTCCTTTCTATCCAAAGGGCAGGACTTGCTTGTGATTACACCTCTAGGGCTACTAGAGAGGCAAACTGCTGCTCATACCCAGGACCCCATCCATGTTCCCTGTTAGCTGTGCTCTAGGACAGCCATCCAGGAGAGATTCAAATACTGCCCAGTTGATTAGCAGAACGCCCACAGTCAGCAACATATGTTTATATTGGTGGTGCACATAGGGTTGCCAGATGGTTTCAGAAAAAATACCAAACAAAACAAAAAAAAACCACCAGGAAAAAGTTTGTCGCCACTGTGGCCCCTTTAAAAACCACGTGGTGAGGCTTTTTGGCCCTAACACGCTGCTGGAGGCCCCCCCCCATCTTGCCTCCCTGCGCCGGGCCGGACAGCTACCCTGCGGAAGCACTAGGGTTGCCAGACTGCCTCTGTATTAAGCCTGGGATTTTCGCCTCCTGGCCGGGAAAAAATCAGAAAGTATCCAATATTTCAGATGTCTGGTATTTTCTGAACTTTTTTTACCAGACAGGAGGCGAAAATAACGGACTTTCCGGTTCAATACCAGACACCTGGCAACCCTAGGTGCACATCTGCACATGCCTTGGTGCACATAAAAAATTATTCTGCACATGGATGGAAAAAAATTAGAGAGAACATTGATCTCTGTTGGAACAAGCTCTGGTACTGCGAACAGAACAGGGCCTCCCTCTATGCCCCTTGCACAGATACATGTTGCAAAAGGAATGAAAAATGCCAGAAGGATAGCCTCACTGAAGCCTGACGCTCATTAGGAGATGTAGACATAAAAACAAAATAGAACAGCATCCTCCTTTTTCTCCTTTGCTCCGTAAGTTAAGCATGTCCAACCAGATTGGTGTGCGTGCATTTATAACTGGTAACATCATTTGCTCCCAGGCTAGGACCTTGCATGTCACGTTTCATCTCCCAGTCAATTTTTATGGCTGAGTTTGTTATATTAACGCCTGGAAAAAAATCCTAACAAATGGGAGTGGGCTTATTAGAGGGGAGCAGATCCAGCTTTTCTCGCTACCTTGCAGCGGTGTGGAAGTCAGACATGTAATACATGCATATGTGTGACATCCAACAATGCAAGGGCAAACATCAGCTTCAGCAAATCTGAAATGAACTATAATCAATTGATTTTCAATGCACAAATCTAACGGGATGTATTCATTTACAGGGCCAGCGAACAGTGTTTCCTGTAAGCTGAGCACTTGTGTGGGTACACAGGAGAGATTCAAATGCCACCCAACTGATTAGCAGACCACTCACCGCTAGGTTTTATTTCTACTGGTGGTGCACATTTTCATGTGTCTGGGTGCATGTAGAAAAAATTATTTCACACATGGATGGAAACAATCTGCACATAGATGGAAAAAATTAGAGGGAATATTGCCAGAAAAACTCTCTCCTTGGAATGAGCGAGTTAAATGTACATGAGTGTGTAGATGGAGCCAAATTCTGCTCTGTGGGTATGTCTACACTACCCCGCTAGTTCGAACTAGCGGGGTAATGTAGGCATACCGCACTTGCAAATGAAGCCCGGGATTTGAATTTCCCGGGCTTCATTTGCATAAGCGGGGAGCCGCCATTTTTAAAACCCCACT